GGAGTTACCATCGGGGGATTTGCGCTAGCGGTAATCTAATCTAATCGCGGCGATCACATCTTCCCACTGCACTTCCCCAAAACAGCTCGCCTCACTACAACATTTCACATCCCAACTCTTGCATTCAACATGGATGCTAAATCCTCCAAGCGAAGGAAGGTTGAGCACCAACAATCTACACATGCTGGTGGTGGTACGTGCTTCCCTGATTTCAATCACATGAATCTAATTTTCCTAACAGATGTGTTTTTCTAGCACCACTAAGTGCTGCTGCTGCACTTCGTGCACGCAGAAAGCAACAGGATTCCGAGGAAACTGGGTCACCTTCAAATGAAGAGTCATCAGCGGCATCTTCTGTGATCAAGGCCTCAGCAAAGTCGCGCGCGCGCAAGAAGAGCAAGGACAAGACTCAGTTGGCCGAAAATGGCCAGAGCGTGTCGGGCTCTGCACCTGCTTTAGAAGTGGCTCCCAGCGATGTGCCTGCTGATTTGGTTACCAATGACGCCAAGCCGCTGTCTGCCGTTGAGGCTCGGAGAGCGGCTCTCGAGGAAACCACCAAGACGCTTACTCTCCAAAAAGCCGACGACAGCGACAACAGCATTGACAGCTATGAGCCCGATTATATCCCAAGACCTAGTGACGAGGTCGAGACCAAGGACGCATACGCATCATCACAAGTTCAAGTTTCGTCTTGGACCCCAACCGCGAAAAATGTACCGAAACAAAACTCCAATGGAATGACAGCACGTCTTGCGCCTAATGAAACCCTGGCCATTGTCGGAATCTATGATATTCTTATCAAGAGGGGTGTCGTGACATTGTACGGCGCAATACTGAGAGCGGGTCCCCAAGCCGCGTCTTATCGAGTATTTGCACCAGCTACACATGCACTTCCGGTCATAGAATGTCTCTCGCCAGATGGGGCTGAAGTCGAATTGAAGTCGGTAAATTCACAGCTGCCATCTTTGGAGAAGCTTTCGCCGTTGCATGGACGTCTCTGGAAAGCCGAACAGAGTGCGGACCAATCTTTCCTGCAGAATCACAAGAAGCGTTGGTCGTTTGAAAATGTCAGCTGCCCCTCCACGCTTGCAGTCATTCTGTCGTTGACATTAATCTAGATTCATGTCTTGTCCGACGATTCATTGAGCAGACCTCTGTATCATCTCGAGATGCCGCCAGAGTGGCACAAGGCTATAGACAAGATTTGCTCCGCTGCGTCAAAGCGGAATCCGGGTTTGTACGAGAAAATCATGGTTTGCGGTCCAAAATCGACGGGCAAATCGACTTTTGGCAGATTATTGCTCAACCGCCTTTTCACCATCGACCGCGAGGCCATGAAGTCAGAACAACACTCGGTTTTCCTCCTCGACATTGACCCCGGGCAGCCCGAGTATGGACCACCTGGACAGATCTCACTGATTGAGTTACGCCAACCCATATTTGGACCTCCTTTTGTCCACCCAAGCGCAACCACAGGCACGCATCAGCGCATCATTCGAGCACACTACATTGGAGCCAATAGCCCTAAAGATGACCCGGAGCATTTTGTTGCGTGCGCGGTCGACCTAGCCATGGCCTATCACAAACACCTTGATTTTGGCAACACGAGAGGACCACTCATCATCAATACCCCGGGCTGGATCATCGGCACAGGTCTCCAAATTCTCCTGTCACTCCTCACACGTCTCTCCCCAACAGACCTGATCTACACAAGCGATGAGCCCAATCGCGCCCTCGAGGCCCTCACCACCGCGACAACCACGGTTCCGACGGTCCAGCGCTTCCAGTCTATCCCATCACAGCCCTCTGGACATCCAGGGCGCTCAGCAGCCGAGTTTCGGACTATGCAATCCCTTTCGTACTTCCATCTCGCCGCTCCTCGCCAAAACGACCCGCACCAGGGATGGGATCCGACGCCTCTGAGTCACTGTCATCCGTTTGTCGTGTCGTATGCTGCCAGTGCTCCCAATTTCCTCGCCGTGCTGGACACTGGAGAACCAGTAGTTCCAGCGCATATACCCACCGTTCTCGAGGGCAACATAGTCGGAGTAGTTGAGTTGTCCGCTTCTTCACCCATGCAAATCGACAACGACAACGGTGGAAATGGAGACTATGGCAACCGTGTCGCCCGCAGCCCGGCACCCCACAACATTCCGTACATCACACCGTCAGGACGCACGCGTCGAACGGTAGAGCCGCCGTCGCCGCACACCTCGCGGCTTGTCACGCTCGCGCTGGTCCGCGGCATCGATGCCGCAAATCAGGCCTTGCACCTGCTCATCCCATCGGCCAACGAGCACCTTCTCATGGAATTGGATACGCAGAGAACGGTGCTCGTGCTTGGTTCTATGGAGGTGCCGGGATGGGCGTACCTGGAGGACATACACGCGGAAGAGTGGACGAAGAGGGATGGAGAGAAGAGCGGCGCCACTGTGACGACAAATGTGGCCGCTGATATCGATGCTGGCCGCGTGCCATGGGTACAGAGGGAGGGAACGGGGGCCGAAGCGAGCGTTGGTGTTGTTGGTGCCAAAAGACGGCTGAGGCGGTTTGTGGGGTGAGCACAAATGCTCCCAGTTCGTCTAGCAAGACTCGAACGTTTGGATGCCATGATGGATTCCCCCTCTGCGTCGACTGAAAGACGTGGGTGCTTCCCTCTTGCTCGAATTCTACAAAAGCTTCTGCCTAAAACTCGATCGCCTGCCTTTCCCACGATTGCTCCTTGATCGTCTCTCTCACCTAAGCACAGCACACACCACACACCACGCAAGACAAAAAGCCTCCCTCGTGTCTATCCCTCCGCCAGTGTGTCGATCGCCTTGCCAAGCAAAGACGGCGGACACCGCTGACTCCGCTTACTCCGCGAGCTCCGCCTCGTCCGCCTCCGCCTCTTGGCCGCCTTGGCACTCGTATCCCGAACACTTGTTCCGCCTCGCGTCTTGGTATTCGCGACATGGCGCCTCTTTCGGGGTGGAAGAGGAAAGAGAGGCCGCTGCTCCGCCGCTGCTCCGCCGCGTCCCGTCTCCGTGTCCGCGTCGCCCCGGCGGTGCTCCGCCTCCGCCTTGGCCTGCTCTTGTTGTTGTCCAGAATGAGGACGGCGGGGTTGGACTGCGAGCTCCGAAAACCAATGGTGTAGGTTTTTTGATGTGTTGCGCTGGGGAGGTGAGAGCTGCCAAGCTGGCTGCCTGCGTGCGACGTGTCTGGATGTGGTGTTTCAGGGGCGACTTTCTCCGCGAAGAAGGTCATGGCGATGGATGGCGTGCGGCAGGCATGTGAGTGAGCAAGTTAGCACGACTGGACGTGGATGCGGAGGAGGCTGAGGGGAGAGAGGATTGAGTTTGGGGTTGAGTTCGAGGTTGAACATCAGGCCGTCCCAGTCAGTCGACCGTTTCTTGGGTTGGAGACTGGAGTCTCGCTCCCTGTTGTGCATCGACCTTTTGGTCTGACAGGCGGGCATGTTGAGCAGATGGCAGTGTTTGTTTTGCTGGGAGTTGTGCTGGTGGATATTTGGGAAAACTTTGTTAGTCAGCCGAGTAGAGGTAATGGCTTTGACCGGCGTGGAAATACGCACAAAAGACAAAGTCAGTAAGCATGTCTCCAATGTTTGTTGGCTGATATTCGTTTTTAGGCAAATGAAGTTGCGGAGAATGGGTGCTGTCGTCTGTCTTGAATATAACAGGTGAACTCGATCATTAACATATTGAGCGTGACGGAATCAAAATATGAGCATCCTGCGGTGTTTGTGCTGGTCAATCATCAAGTGAATGCGCAATACTAGAATATTTCCAACTTGCTTTCATCTTTGACATGATTGGTATGCCACCAACGCTTTGTTCTTCTTCAAGACCGGGACATCTCTATTGATTAGGAACTTAGGCGGATTGAAATCCTGAGGATTTTGCAGCACACAGGACAACAGACAAAACGCAGTGGTGCATCCCCAAACCCTTTGCCATGCAGCCTCAATCCCAATTTCCACCACCAATGCTAACGACTTGAACGCCATCACTCTCATACATCTGAGAGTCTCATCTCCTTCCCCACGTTCCAAAGACAGTAGCAGAACTCTATCCTCGCGGGCGACAAGTCTCAGCTGCCGGTACATCGGCGCACGACATGCTCCAATTATTCGATGGCATGGCGCTGATGTCAGAACAGCCGCAGTCAAAAAATGACAGATGGAATGAATGCCCAGCACGCCCAAAACCACCACGGGCGTGTGTAGAGAGACGAGATGCCATCTTTTGACGAATCGGATTTGGAAAAAGGAATGCAAAAGGCAACAAGGAAATTATTCGATGGATCCAAAAGTCACTCGAGGAGATGATGCAGCCATAGAGACAGTATTACGCAAGACACTGGAGAGGGATAGATAGACCGAGTCTCATCGCGATGGCAATGAGATTGAAAGCACAGCATTTTGTGTGTTGGAAAAAAAATCCATGTCCAGAAGAGTTGTTTCGTGGATTGTTCTTGATTGCAGCAGGCGGCATCAGAGCCCTGCAGATTTGACAGCGACCTTCCAGCCAGGTAACGTTGAACTATGTTCCTGTGGTTCCAGTCGGTGGGTTTGTCAGCGCATCAGTTTCTTTGGTCCAGGTGGCTTGTTTGTGTCTCCAAAAGAATGTTTTTGATGTATTGAAGCTACGCAAAGTGCGGTGAGCAAATGAAAGCCCGGCTGTCAACGTCTTTCTGTCGCTGTATCTGTAGGATCCGATGCAACCGACATCAAGACTCTTTCATCGCTCCAAATCTCACATGAAAATCGCTTCGCTGCTATCACTGGGCGATCCAGTCCGGTTGGAGGCCACAATAAGGTTTGCCGGAAGAGGCAAGGGCGCGGGCCGGCGCCGGTTTTTCCGACACGCTAGCCGTTTCCGGTGCGGATCTAGCGCCCACGTGATCTCTGCGAAAAAATGAGAAAAATGAAGCTCAACACCACAACACCACAACAACGCATCGGGATAGTGATTAAACAGCACAGAAGACGGCAAAAAGAATGGATCCGCCGGGAATTGAACCCGGGACCTCTCCCATTTGAGGCGACTCCTTCCGCTGTGAAGCGGAGGTGATGTTGCTAAGGGAGTGTCATACCCCTAGACCACAGACCCGTGGTATTTGATAGTAGACGCTCCCTTAGCAACACCTATGACCTGCAGTGTTGGCAAGAGACCACAGTGACAGCCGAGATCGGAGTTATCGGATGTTAGGTAAGACGAAGCCAGGGGCGGGGGCAGAGGGCGGTCGGGGAGCGGGAGACATTGCCGACGTTCGCGAAAAAGAAAACAGAGCAACCAGCGAGCGAGCGGGCATGCCGAACCGGGAAACGCCTGCGCAAGCAATATGCAAGACTGCAGCGGATAGCAGGGAATGTCGTCGCGCTGTTCCATCCGTTCGTGAAGAGTCGCAAGTCTGGGCCCAGCTGGTCATCCGATGATGTCGCTCGTCGAAGTTGAAAGAATCCCGCGCCGTTCCCTAGCGCGCGTGGGATGGTCGATGGCGTCATAAGGTACATGACCGCATGGATGCGTGGTGTTGATGTTGATGGTCGCCGACCGAAAACCATCGAGATGCAAATCGACCAGCAAGTCGAGCAGCGAATACCGCGCAAAGTAGACGGCCTTGCGAATATCGGATCAAGAAGCAGGTTGTCAGAGTAGCGCATCAAGAGACAAACTGAGCAACGATGAGCAAGATTAGCAGCAAATCGAGACAGATCAAAAGTCGCAGGGCACACTTCCACACGTTCCCCAGCACCCTCGCCTGCCCGTATTTTAAAGAGTTGCGAGACACGTCGACGTTCTATAAAGCTAGTTGGCGGTACTGGCGGATAATGTTTTAGTCGCTGAGCTTGCTTCTGTTTTACGCGCCGGCAGCGACGGCTGTCAAAGTGTCAATCAATACTTTGCACATGGAATCCGTAAATCCTGGCATGCTGACCAACAGAATTCCGGTGAGAGCCAACCGGACGGGAGTTGCGGAGTTTGGATGGGTTGACAGCTCGCTTACATCAAGGGCATCGAAAAGAGTCATTCGAGGCGACGGAAAGCGGCGGCAGGTGGCCACAGCGGTCAGTCGGCACGTTCTGCGACTTGTGAACTCGTGGAGTCGCAGATTTTTCCGATCTTTTCGATCTTGTATAGAAAACGGTGATATGCTGGGCTGCGCTCAAATATCGGACGGCGCTGTCTCGGGATTGGCAGAGTCCGGGCTCCGAATGGCGTTGGCCGAGCTGGCGGTTTGCTCTTGGCCATGAAGAGCAATAGCAACCGACATGGAAGCAAAAGGGCGTGTTGCTGATGCCACGTGCGGGGAGTGGTCGCAGCATACGCAGAAGTTTGTTATCCGCCGACATGCATGTAGCTGGTTCTTGAAGAGTAATTGGATGCCAGCAGCGTTGCGCCACATGAAGAGTGTTGTTTGGCTGGCATTTGGACAACCCTCCTCGCTTTGATTGGCAGTTTGACAAGTTGACCGCCATGGAATATCAGATGAGGATGCAGGCCGTGGAAAGGGAGAGCGAGCAAAGTCGCGATGGCGGGCGTCAGCAGCAAGGGTTTCTGGCGCTGTGTAATGATGTGATGGTCAAGGAATGTAGGTACAGCATAACGGGCGGTCCGCAAACGGGACCGGGCTAGCAAGGCTCTGTGCATGACTCGGGCCACGATACCCCAGGATTTCCTGGCTGGTGGGGCGATAGGATAAGACAATTTTTTTCTTCTGTTGTTTATCGCGCGAGACTCGGCGTCGAGGAAGTGGCAGGTCGGCGGCATCCAGGCGGCATGTTCGGCCAGGATACTGTTGGATAGGCAGAGTCAGCAGCAACAGCGGAGCGGAGCTGGAGGCATGTGGTGTTGTGCGGTTTATGCCTACCTCACATATGATGTGACGGGTACGGCTGGGACCGCCTGCTGGGACTGGGATGCTCATGCACACCCAAAATGCTGAATCAGCCACACAAGCAGGGGGGCACTCTGTTTACCACGGTTCTATAGCTGCGAGCTCTCAGCCAAACTCCTAATTCCGTAGACCGTCGACGGGCCACGCTGACGATGCGGCATCCGATGACTCTTGTGGACAAGGTTAGGACACCGGCGGAGGGGCTGGGGGCGCTGCGCTATTCATTTGTGCTGGTGTGACCATCAGGCGCGGCGCAAGCTGTGGTTGTTGAAAGGTGTGGATTGGCAGTGATGGGCCGGATCTCTCGGGATGGCGGGCCCTGCACTGACTGGTCGACTGCCGAGGCGGACTGGGGCTGACAGGGCTGCCTCTGCATCCACGGGTCCCACGTCATGATCGAGAAACTTCCTGCACCGCGACTCTCTCGGGGACAATTGCTGTGCTGATGTGACCGTGACTTCAAATACCTCGTCGCCCCGAGCGCGCGTCTCTGCTGTTTCCACTCATCCCAGCCTCTTTCCGGATCTGCATTCGTCACTGGTACCTTCCTCAGGTATCTATATTGCCCGCCGACGGACAAAGGCCACAGCTTCTCTTCACTTCCGCCTCTCTCCCCTCCCTCGGACTCGTCACCTCTTCAGTTGCTATTCCTCCAACTGCCTCTGAATGCAATCGCGAATCCTCGCATTAACCGCCGCGACATCACTCCTGTCGCTGGCCTTTGCTCACGGCGATGAAGCCCACACTGCAGACATGTCCGGTATGGACATGAACCCTGCCGAAGCCTCGCCCAAACCGGCGGGCGAGGCCTTCACTGCGCCTGGAAAAGAGGGATGGCCTCTGAGCTACTGGAGCTATTCGGAAAACGTCGGTCTGCTGTATACGTACATGGCGCTCGTTGTGCTCAACTGGATCATGATTGCTCCGCCAGGTGCGCCTTTGGCTCTCGAATAGAAATCAATCAAGTTCGTGCGCTGACCTCGCAACAGTGGTGATGTTGAGCATTGCGCGCTCGCGCCTCGCTCTCCCCGCTCAGTTCCTCTTCCTCGCCTCGCAGGGAGTCGCCCTGTTTACGGGAATCATCTACGACGCCAAAACTCCAGACCTCTATCCAAACGACGCTCACTCCAAGCTGAGGTGGATAATCTTTTGGATTTCGGCCGCTTGGGTCGCCCTGGGACTTGTCAACCTGTATGCGGACTGGTCCAACCGCTCCAAGACGCAGCCGCTGTCTACCGCCCTCATGGCGCAATACCAGCGGTTGCAGCAGGCCCAGCAAACGGCACCCAATCGCATGTCCTACGACTCTGGCCAAGGCACGGAGCGCAACTCGGGATCCCTGTTTGGACACTCCCCCTCGTCGCCTTGTACCGAGTCTGAGGAACGCCGCCATTTCCAAGATGACCACGACGACTACGAGGCTGCAGCATTCGATGATGCTGATGCAGTCGAGGAGAAGCGTGGTTTCCTTCGCAACACTCGCGTGGACCGCTTCATGTCCCGCGTTGTGCCCCGCATCGGCGATTGTCCCCTCAAGATTATGCGCTTCTTTTATGTCTTGATTGAGCGACTAATCCTCGTTCTCGGATTCGTGTCCGTAGCGACTCTTACGACGACGGTTGGCGGAATCTCTGTAAGTGATCGTCTCTGGCCTCACTTCTTGAGCATATGACTGACTTGCGATAGCGCGGCAATCACATCTTCAACATCTTGGCCCACTACATCAAGGGTGCCATTTTCTTTTGGTACGGCCTCTTGACCCTCGGACGCTGGATGGGAAGCTTTGCAGACTTTGGCTGGGCTTGGAATGTCAAGCCCCCGCAGGAGCTTGTTGGCCGGGCCAAGGCACGGATGCCGTCTGCAGAGTTCACCGAATCGTTTGTGATTTGCGCCTACGGCGCTTCCAACGTTTTCTTGGAGCACTTGGCCGCGTGGGGCTCCGAGTGGACGGCGCAAGACCTCGAGCACGTGTCAATTTCTGTCATGTTCTTCGGCGGTGGTGCGCTAGGCATGCTCATCGAATCCAAGAGGGTGCGGGAGCTGCTCAACACGTCAATTCTGAGCACCCAAAACAGCATTCTACGCACAGACGATGACCACTTTGAGCGGCCCAAGTCGTACAGCGTCTCGTTGAACCCGATGCCGGCCATTGTCATTTTGCTCCTCGGCAAGATGATGGGCTCGCACCACCAATCCTCGATGCTTTCGACCATGGTCCACAAGCAGTGGGGCAACATGTTCATGGGCTTTGCTCTTGCGCGCTGCGTAACGTACATCATGCTGTACCTCTCGCCGCCGACATCGTTCCTCCCTGCACGCCCGCCGTCCGAACTCGTCACGTCGTTCTGCCTGATTGCTGGCGGCATCACCTTTATCGTCAGCAACAAAGACACCGTCTCCGCACTCGAGTCGTACGACCTGGACGCCATGTTTACATTTGTCATTACGGTCGGTTTCACGGCGCTCATCATGGCATGGACCGTTGTCAACCTCGCGTTCAAGGGTTGGGCTGAGCGCCGCGAGCAGCGCGCGACTTTTTCCAAGACCAGCAACGTCGGTGCCGGCATCAGCACTTCTTTGCCTTGAGATTCTTCAGCAGCAGTGGATACTTCAAGCATTAATGATACCCAGCAATAGCTCTTCTTTCTAATTGCACGGAAACGGCGACTCTCGACAACCTACCCCGACCTACGCTATCCTCGCCATCATCAATAGACTCGCACATAGACTGCCGGATCCAGGGAGTCTTCGAATGTCTTGGGTGGCACGGTTGCCAAGTTCTCGCTTCGTCGTTCGTCTCGTCCGGCTAAGGTTGTGCTCGCTTGGGTTGTTTTAGCCCTGCCGGCGGCCGCGATCCGAGCCGGCTGTGGCGGTTTTTCTCAGCCCTGCGGGCTTCAGGTACCTTGTCGTTGGTGCCAGGGGCTTGCAGACGACGGCGGGACTAAGAAAAGCCGCACGACCTGATATTTTGCTCCGTACCCTTTTTTTGTTATACCCATTCCCTATTTTCTACGTCCCTCCCTCTCTCTCCCTCTCCTCATTTTCTCCCCGAACAAACGTCTCTCCTTGTTCCGTTTTCCACGTTTTGCACGATGCGCGGAATTATAGCGTGCGCCTTTATGCGCTGCTCCCTTTTTGCTGTTTCTCCGCCAATGATACCACTGCTTCTTTTGTTCTCTGGAATGGATGGATGGATGAATGGACGGATCAT